TCTATGTTTTTGTTGGTGGTGTGGATCTGATTGAGACTGATTCTCTCCCGTGATGAGCGCGGGCTTAATGGGTTTTCTGGCTGGTGTTTTGAACTCATTCTCCAGCCAAGTGGACTGATTTCGATGGGTTTGTTTTTGAACGCATGTGGACTGGTTCACATGCTACAGTTTCATAAGGAGAGTTTAAAAAATCACCCAAAATCGAGTAGGAAGGAGGATTTCAATTCCTTGAAATTCTAGTGCAATACTACCGATTCTATAGAATTCCATTAGAATCTAAATCATTTAAAATCCTTTAAAGGATACGGAGGGAGTACTAATTTATTTTTAATAGTGCAGGAGTCTATGTGATAATACGTGAAACCTTGAGAGAGGTTAATGCTAATTTTCATTTAGTGGTTGAATTTGACTCCAATGAAATAAAGAGTGCACCATCTTACATCAATGTTAATAATCAAAGCTACGGAAAAACTTCAACTTGTTTTCATAATAGAGTCGTGATACATTTGTCAAATATTTATAAACAACTTTTAAAAAATACGAGTTTATAAAATTAATGGTTATTTTTAAAATAGAAGAATGATTTAATGATTTATTAACTTTTAGTTTGAAAGTTGAAATGGGTTTAAAAAATACAGGTTTATAAAATTAATGGTTATTTTTAAAATATGTTTAACATTTATAATATTTGAGTTGAACTTTAAATACTGTAAATTATGTTTATTTTTAAAAGATGTTTAACATTTATAATATGTTAGAATTTTTGTGTATACGGACTTTAACAATATTAGTTCATTTTTATTTTATTCTAAAATGTGATTTTAGACTTTTTAGTATATCGACTTCGTTTCGCGTATAAACCTAACAAACACAAATTGTTCACAAGATCTATTATATTGCTGTTTCCATTAGCTTAAATTCAATATGTCTAATGCATAATTGACAGAAATTTATTATCAAAAATTGTTTCACCGGATTCTGACTTCTCTTTTATGCGTGTGTTTGGATGTGCATGTTATCATAATTTTACTGCCACAGCAGCCAATAAATTGTCTTCTCGTTCTGTTCAGTGTGTCTTCCTGAGATATGCTTCTGAATACAAGGGCTATCGCTATTTTAGATCCCAAAACTGGTAGGGTTTATATTAGTCGTCATGTTAGGTTTCATGAAAATCTTTTTCCCTATTCTCAGTTAGTGTCACAAAGTCTCCCTGAGTCCTCAACCGTGCAACCTTGTCCTCTGTCCTTTTCTCGGCCGTTTCCTGTGCCCCCGCCACTACTATGCCGCAGCTACCCCCGCTGGATTTTTCCTTAGAAACCGGTTCATCTCCAAAGCTGCAGTCCTCTTCGCCGATGGCAGTTTCTTCGGACCAGCAGCTCGCTTTGCCGACAGATGCTCCGTCTTCTCCAAGGACGCCAGCGAGCAATGCTTCCATGGAATCCTCGCAGGTTAGCGGTGAAGAGGTTACTCATGTTCCGGTTTCGGGTGCATCTTTGACTCAAAATATTCATCCCATGCAAACACGCTCTAAATCAGGAATTTTCAAACCCAAATCTATTTTTAATTTGAACACTGATGTTTTGGTTCCTGATCCAACTTGTTTTTTCTATGGCTAATAAGGATCTTAAATGGAGAGCAGCTATGGCTGAGGAATTTAATGCACTTATCACTAATAAAACTTGGGATCTAGTACCGTTTGACTCTAGCAAAAATTTGGTTGGGTCTATATGGATTTATAAAACTAAGTATCGGTCTGATGGCTCTATTGAACGTCATAAAGCACGTCTGGTTGCCCAAGGGTTTAAGCAACAAGCTGGGGTGGATTTCTCTGAAACCTTTAGTCCTGTTGTGAAACACATCACTGTTCGCATTGTCCTTACATTAGTTATTTCCTTTAATTGGCCTATTCGTTAGTTAGATGTTAAAAATGCATTTCTTCATAGTCATCTCACATAAGAGGTTTACATGCGTCAACCACCCGGGTTTGTTCATCCTCAATTTCCTAATCACATTTGTCGCTTGCACAAGGCCATTTATGGTCTCAAACGGGCTCCCCGGGCATGGTTTCATCGTTTCAGTAGTTTTCTTCTCACTCATGAATTTGTGTGTAGTCGTGCTGATAATTCTTTGTTTATTTTTCGTCAGGCTACACGTATCATTTATTTGCTCTTATATGTGGATGACATTATTATTACTGGCAGTTCCTCTACTCTTATTAGTAATTTTATTTCTCTCCTAGAAAATATTTTGCTATGAAAGATTTAGGGGATATTCATTTTTTCTTGGGGGTTCAGGTTGTGCGGAATTCTTCTGGTTTATTTTTGTCTCGGGCCAAATATGTGTCTGATCTTCTCACCCGGTTTTACCTTTATACTATTAAATCTGTTCGCACGCCTTTACCTACTAGAACCAAGCTATCTCTCACCGATGGTGAGTTACTTACTGATCGTGTTGAGTATCGTATCATGTTAGGTGCATTGCAATATTTAACTATGACTAGACCTGATATTACATGTTTTGTTCACTTGGTTTCTAAATTTATGCATGCTCCTCGTACCTCACATATGTTGGTTGTTAAGAGAATTTTCAGGTACCTACAGGGCACTAAAACTCATGGTTTACATCTTCAACCATCGCCACACCCACACTCGGTCTGGCATACTCCGATGCTGATTGGGCTGGTTGTCCTGATAGTAGTCGTTCCACGTTTGGCTATGCTGTTTTTCTTGATCCTAATTTGATTTCCTGGTGATCCAAGAAATAGCCTACTGTCTCCCGCTCATCTACAGAGGCTGAGTATAGAGCCATTGCATACACAGTTCAGGATACATTACACATTCGATCCATTTTATTTGAGCTCGGCTTTCCTCTTTCTCGATCGGTTCTTTTGCTATGTGATAATGTATGTGCTTCATATTTATCTGTCAATCCCATCCAGCATGCTCGCAGTAAGCACATTAACATTGATTATCATTTTGTTTGCGAACGTGTGACTCATGGTGATCTCCAGGTGCAATATGTTCCTACGAAATTTCAACTGACTGACATCTATTGTACAAGACAATCTACGCGTAGTTTTTAATTTTACAAGACAATCTACGCGTAGTTCCTCCTGCATAGATTGAGGGGGTGCAATAGTGAAATAATTAGAATTAATTATTAGTCAGTTTCCTTATTGTACTTGGACACTTATTACCTATAAATATACTCTCAAGGCTACCAGTCTGGTTAAGCCTGTTTATTATTCTCACAGAAAGTACTAAACTGACTCCATTGATGTGAATTGTGAAGTGAGAATGTTTTTACTTAGAAAGTTAGAAGTGTAATTTTCTTGTTTGATAAATGACTATTCTTTGTGTATTTATAATTGTCCAAATCTTGTCTGAACTCTGACCGAAAACAATCCAAGTACAAATATCCTAATATACCCTTAACTCCCTTAAAAACAAATTAGAGTATTTTATGAGTAATGTAAGGATGTTTACTTGGACTAAAATTTACTGATCTGTTTAAGTATTTTATGAGTAATGTAAGGATGTCTTTAATTAATAGTAACTGATCGTCTGATCTTAAAATCTTACGGAGTTACGAGTCCTGGTTAGGGATGGACCCAACCAGTTCGAACCGGCCCGCTACTGTGCAGGCCCGAACCGGACCAAGATGATCGGTTCCGGGTTGTAGCCCGGTTTGGGCGGGTCTGGCGGGCCGGGCTCGAGCCTTGATTTTCATTAACCGGCCCAGGCAGCCCAGGCGGGGCCCGATTCATTTTTTTTTCCAATTTTTTTCTTTTCCTTAGGTAAGGCTGGGTGTTTTGGGGGTTTGGGGGTGGGGTGAGGGAGGGGGGTCGAGGGTTAATTACAATGCCAAAAAAACACCTTGAACTGGGCCTGAACCGACCCGGCCCGGTTTGGCCCAGGCTCAGTATCAACCCGGGCCGATTCCAAGCCCAACGTCTTAGAAAAAAGCCCGGCCTGAACCGGCTCGGAGCCCAGCTCGGGCCATGCCTAGTCCTGGTATTATAATATCCAAAAGTTTTTCACTTCATGATAAAACATACTCCGTATTTGAACAGGACAAATCTTGGGTAATTGAAAATTGAATTTAAAAATTCAAAGGGATTTGGATTTATATGTGAATAAAATAATAGTGACAAGTTGAATAAAATAGAGTACAACTCAAAATTGTATGAATAAGATAACTAAACTATTTAAAATTAATCTAAGCATTTGAGAATCAAAATAGAGTACGATTTCAATAGATACGTATAAAATGACTTACAAATTAAAATAAAGGAAAATTTCTCAAAAAAGGAGTAAAAATGTTTTGAAATTCTAAAATAGTACACATGTTTTGAAAATTACTACCAAATTTAAAAAATAATGCCATGTTTAAAATTCGGTACTATCAAAATATGACAATAATTACTTCTATTTAAACAATAAACATGCTCCCTTCATCCCTATTTAAAAGGTCCCCTTTGACTTGCACACAATTTTAAAAAATGGCAATGTTTGAACATTGTTTGATACTTTTTAGCATTGTATTGCACATGTTTGTTTAGCAAATCAAGAAAGGGGGCATTTCCAAGGGACGTTTTAGAACGTTTTTATTCAGGGCAATTTCCCTAAAATAAATCTAAGCATTTGACACTCTAAGAGTACTAGAGTACTACGTTAATTAGTGTATTCATTACTACTAGAGTACTAGTCTACAATATTGCTTTTGATGTTTTTATTTTCGTAATGTGTAGGGGCTCTAGCCATAAAATGTGTGCATCTTAAATGAGAGCCTTCAACCATTAAATGAAAGTCTACATGCCCAAACCTGAACTGATTGGTTGAAGACTTGAAGTAACGACTGCTGATACTGGGAAATCTTGACTATCCGATACATGATAGAAAGACTGAGAGACGAGAAGCAGTCAACCTCTTGGGCCTCTTGGGCTTCTCGCAACAGGCCATAACCAAATTTTAGTTCCATTAACCCATAAGAGAGGGAACGGGGAGGGGGGTCTTAATTGTACATGAAGACTCTACATAACAGGGAACTTTTATACAACTGCAAAATTGAGACCTCTGGAACAGAACCACAAACATAAACAGATCAACATGACAGAAATAATTAATTAACAAAATAGAAGCCTCTTGGATATGAAAAGGGGATCTTTTGTATGTATGTACATACCAGTAGAAAAGCATGGGATCTAGTTAAACTATGTGCTGATATCTTCACGTGACAGGCCAGGCTAAAAAGAAATCTCCCCTTTCACCAAAAAAATTACTCGGCTCCTGCATTTCTGTGCAACTTAAAAAACATATACATTCATTCACCTGCTGCTGTTCCACCATGTGAGTTCTATTTTGTGTTGTTGCAGGTGCCAAGTACATAACCAACATGAAACGTGTCATGAAGGCCGAAAAAGGGTAGATTGTGGACTAAAAAAAGCAGCGGGCAGAAGGGACTGATATCACAGGGAGAAACATTGTACCCCACTAGGGAGGTCCCTGGGCAATGGGAGTGGAGTCACATGTCTCTGAGCAAAAGAGGTGCAAGGGTGTGTGGCCGCATCTGGTGAGGAACCTGTACCATCTGCTTGGCCACCTCGGCCATAGAACTTCGCAAACCGGTTTATGACAGAAAACTTCTCCAAATCTTGGTTTTCTGTTGCCAAATCCACCAGTGACACTCTCCTGTCCAGTCTGTTCACATGAAAGAGCACAACTAAGAAAAGTGGAGAAATGGTTAATAGGAGTGGCAGAGACGTGTGCACTTGTAAAAAGCAACAAACAGCGACACAAATACACAATATACCCACCCCCAAAAGAAAAAAAAAAGAAAAAAAAACTTATACCCAAACCAAGCATATGCTGGTGAACAGACATTTGTTCAACAAGATATTTGCTTAAGCAAATTCGTTTAGGCTTGGACGCAAGTCTTAGTCCAACTTCAGTGTTGTAGGTTTAAAACAACTGATTGGGCAACCTTTCCCTCAGATACAACCTACAGTGCCACTATTATTTTCCCATGTGGACCATTGTAGTAGAGGGGGGTTCCTGTACGTGAGAATCTGTCAGTATTAAATTCAATATGTTGTACATGTCAAAATACATGAGCCAACAACGCAGGCTGGCTAGCTCATAAGTGTAAAAAGATCAAATCAGCCAAGAGAAAACACAAGTTTTGACTAACAAACTAAGAAAGTCAAGCCAAATGCAAAAATCATATATGAGAGGAAAAATAATAGAAGTTCAGATAGGATGAATGAGGAAGAAGTATATTCTCATTAAACTGAAATGATGATTACAGGGTGTATTTATAGAGGTTACAGTTCAACTGAAACTAACTAACTAACTAAACATAACTAATACAATCCGTATGGTATATCTAACATCCCCCCCTCAAACTTAGTGTGACTTTGTTGGAGATGCAATGACACTAAGTTTGTTTCTCAAATTAATAAAAGATGAAGCAGACAAGGGTTTTGTGAGAACATCAGCCAGTTGATATTGAGCAGGAATGTGGAACACTTGTAGTTGTTTCAGTTGAACTTTCTCTCGCACAAAAAATAGATCAATCTCCATGTGTTTGATACGAGAGTGTAGAACCGGGTTGTGTGCCAGTTGGACTGTACTTTGATTGTCACAGTATATTCTTGGAGTGGTAAAAGGAACCTTGAGTTCACTGAGAAGAAACTGAACCCAAAGAAGTTCAGCTGCAGTATCAGCCATGCTTCTGTACTCGGCTTCTGCTGAGGATCTGGCAACACGCAATTGTTTCTTGGACCACCAAGAAATGATATTTGGACCAAGAAAAGTGCAGGATCCTGATGTGGACTTTCTGTCAGTGGGATCAGAAGCCCAATCAGCATCACAAAAAGCTGAAATAGGTAAAGGCATAGTAGATAGAGGAATAGGTTGGATGAGAAGTCCATGTGTAATAGTGTCAGAGAGATAACGCAGTATATGCTTGACTGCTTTCCAGTGATCATGCAGAGGTGCAGCCATGAACTGACAGACTTTATTTACTGCATAGCTAATTTCAGGTCTTGTTAGAGTAGCATACTGAAGAGTTCCTACTACAGATCTGTAGAAAGAAGGATCAGGCAGGGATTCACTCCCTTCATGAGTGAGTTTACAAGTACTGATCATAGGAGTCATGACTCCTTTGGAATCTAGCATTCCAACTTGATGCAATAAATCTCTGACATATTTTGCTTGAGAAAGGTGTAGGCTTCCATTTGGCAGTTTCTGGACTTGAATTCCTAAAAAGAAATCAATGTCTCCCAGATTTTTAAGAGAGAAAGATGAGTGCAGTTTGTTGATGAGAGTTTGTATGGCTGAAGAGTCATTGCCAATGAAAAGAATGTCATCAACATAGATGAGGATGTAGATGAGGATACCAGAAGATGCAAAGAGAAGTAGAGAAGGATCACATTTGCTTTGCTTAAAACCAGCACCATAAAGAACTGAAGTCAGTTTGTAGAACCAGGATCTAGGTGCCTGTTTTAAGCCATATAGGGACTTGTGAAGTTTGCAGACCAAAGATGTATCTTTTACTTGAAATCCTGGAGGTTGAACCATGTACACTTCTTCACTTAGATCTCCATTAAGGAAAGCATTATTGACATCCAATTGTTGAATAGGCCAGTGATGAGATACAGCAAGAGTAAGAAGTATTCTGATTGTGATAGGCTTTACCACAGGAGAAAAGGTTTCTCCAAAATCAAAACCAAATCTCTGATGGTAGCCCTTAGCAACTAACCTTGCCTTGAACTTATTCAAGGAACCATCTGCATTTTCTTTCACCCTGAAGACCCATTTGCATCCTATAGCCTGTTTATCTGGAGGAAGAGGGACTAAAGACCAAGTGTTGTTAGAAATCAATGCATCATACTCAGTTTTCATTGCAGCAGACCATTGAGGAGAAGTAAGAGCCTGCTTGACTGACCTGGGCTCAACATGAGCTAATAGTAAGGTTGGATTAAGTCGTGGTTTAACAATTCCAGATTTGGCTCTGGTTTGCATGGGGTGATTGTTAGTCAGAGGAGCATTAGATTCAGAAGAAGAGGATAATGAGTGTGATGCAGATGAAGTAGACTGTGAAGGAGAAGTGGGAACAGAATTAGGCTGAGATGAATTAAGGTGAAAGTGGGAAGGAGTAGAGATAGATTGAGAGGTATTATGTTGTGATTGAGAGGGAGAAGAACCTTGTTGAGAAGAATCTGTTTGGGATAAAGAAGTGGAAGAATCAGATTGAGAAGAGGAATTGGAAGGGACAATGGTTATGGGAAAAGACTGTGAAGTAGTGGAGATACAGGGCTGGTGAGGAATTGAAGTGAAAAGAATGCGATAAGGGAATTTGGACTCATTAAAAACCACGTCTCTCGAGATATAGACTTTCCCAGAAGGTGAGAGGCACTTGTAGCCTTTGTGTTGGGAAGAATAACCTATAAACACACACTCTTCAGAGTGAAAATCCATTTTGTGTTTATTGTAAGGTCTGATAAAAGGAAAACATGAACATCCAAAGACTCTGAGAAATGAATAATCTGGAATAGAGCCATATAGCTTAAAATACGGACTTGAATTTGCAATTGACTTTGAGGGAGTTCTATTTGAAAGGTGAACAGAGGTTGCAAATGCAGCATCCCAGAATTCATGTGGTAAAGAAGAATGAGCTAGAAGAGACAGACCCTTCTCAACAATTGTTCTATGTTTTCTTTCAACAACATCATTTTGGTGATGAGTGTGAGGACAAATGATTCTATGTGTGATGCCTTTGTCAGTGAGGAATGGGGTAAAGGATCTAAACTCACCTCCCCAATCAGATTGAAGAGATTTAATGGAAACAGAAAACTGGTTTAGAACATATTGGTAAAAGTTTTGAAAGGCAGTAAGGGCATCAGATTTCTTTTTCAAAAAGTAAATCCAAGTATATCTTGTGTAAGCATCAATGAATGAAATATAGTAAGAGTATCCATCAAAAGATGACATGGGAGCTGGTCCCCAAAGATCAGTGAAAACCAATTCAAATGGTGAATGAAAGATGGTAGTAGAGGGAAAAGATGGAAGTCTATGTGCTTTACCAAGATAACAAGAAGAGCAGAAATCAATATTATTTTTATTAGTAGAAGTAACATTACAATGTTGCATTACAGATTTGAGAGCCTCAAAGTGAGGGTGGCCTAGCCTCAAATGCCACAAATTACAAGAAAGAGAATTATTACAAGACTGAACATGATTACATGACTTATTTTGAGATAAAGATTGACTGGAAACAAGAGCTGGAAGGGATTGAAATTTGTAGAGACCATCTGCACCTAGAATGCCATGTAGAAGGACCTTTTTAGAAGCCTGTGATTTAACAAAACACTCATGAGCATGAAACTCAAAGAAAACATTATTATCTCTTGCAAACTGACTAACACTTGGTAAGTTTTTGGTTATGGAAGGAACATGGAGAATGTTGTTAAGTAAGAGTGTATAAGAAGGATGAAAAGGAGAAGAAAAGGAAGAAAAACCAATCGACTTAATGTCCAAACCTTGACCATTGCCCATGAACAGCTTGTCAGTGGTAGCAAGTGGCTCACTATGTTGAATGTTGAGAGGATCAGGGGTGACATGGTGTGAAGCTCCAGAATCTGGAAACCAGTTCTGTACATTAGGAGGTGGTCCTAGCAATGAAGTGTTTGCAGAAGCCCAAGCTGCAGTTGGAGTAGGTTGATTTTGAGATGATGATGAAAAATGATAATTGGTAGGCCCCCAATTTGTATTCTGAGAGTGCTGATTTGGAATGTAGCTTGGTGTTGGTTGGGTAAACTGTGGATATGGATGAGGATGGGATGGAGAATAGTTATTGTGAGGATGAGGTGTAGAATTTGGATATGAAACTGTTTGTGGAGGATAAGAGCGATAAGAATGAGATGTAGGTTGTGGTAATGAATGATTAGATACTGTGTAGGTAGGATTATGGTTTGGTAATGTAGGGTTAGAGACTGTATAGGCAGGATTATACCTGTGATAGCAAATAAGAGCACTATGACCAACCTTGCTACAAACTTGACAAATGACAGAACTGCGACCACCAGATCTGCCACCTCTTCCTCTGTTAAAACCTCCGCGGCCTCTACCTCTGTAGGTAGTGTTTGTACCAGGATTGTCATATTGAGCAATTTGTGCAGATGGACTTTATGAGGAGTTTTGAGAATCAGTATCAGTTTGTACAGGTGTTTCTTCAAATTGAGCAACATTTGCAGAGAATAAAGTCTGTTGCGAAGAGTCTCGAAGCTTTCTTATTCGCAGCTCTTTAGCTAGCAGGAGAGATTCAAGCTCAGATAAAGTAACAGGATCTAGAATGCTTCTGGATGTGACAGAAGATACGATTGAATCGTATTCTTCTGGGAGGCCTTCAAGGATCACGTTGATATGATCCTTTGTTGAAATAGGTTCACCAACGGAAGTTAGATTATCAATGATGGTCTGAATACGAAGGAGATAATCAGAAATGGAGCGATCACCTTTTCCGGTGTTATACAGCTCGGATTTCAGCTGGCGAGCCTTCGCGACAATGTTCGACCGGAAGAAATGCTCGATTTCACTCCATAGCTGATGCGAGAAAGTGCAATTGATGACACGAGCATGAAACGATTCCGAAAGAGATGCCAATAACCACGAAAACAGCATTTGATCTTGCTGTTCCCAAACACAGTAATCTTCATTGATAGTCTTTGTCGCGCCATCACCACTGATGATAAATTGATCTGGAATTTGAGGATTTTCAATGAATTTTTGAAGTTTGTGAGCTCGAATCACAGATTTGACATGATGTTTCCAGAACAAAAAATTATTGGAATCAAGTTTGATTGGTAAGGGATGATGAAAGATTATAGGAGAATTTTGAGAGATTGAGTGAGAAGAAGCTGAATCAGATGTCGAGTTCGTCATCCTTGAAAACGAAGGAGCTCTATGGCTCTGATACCATAATAGAAGTTCAGATAGGATGAATGAGGAAGAAGTATATTCTCATTAAACTGAAATGATGATTACAGGGTGTATTTATAGAGGTTACAGTTCAACTGAAACTAACTAACTAACTAAACATAACTAATACAATCCGTATGGTATATCTAACACAAATGCAAAAATCATATATGAGAGGAAATGTGATGTCTAAATGTATAAATGTGTGAATGTGTAGAAGGAAATAATAGTGAGCCTACTTCAAAAATTCATCTTCTAACTTTCTTCCCCTCTCGGTGAACTCCTCCATAACTTTTGAGAGATGATGATAGCTGTCCTCCAATGTCTTACACTTTCTATACGATCTAAAAAGCATGCAAGAATATAGCAATGAGGGGAGATAAATTACAAAAAGCAGACATGATAATCAGACTCCATTTCATTCTAATGCAGACTTACATTTCTTTGCCATCAGTTCCCACGATGTAATCGCCTTTGGAGCAAGGAACCACACCACATGCATCACCCAATACCAATCTAGATGCCATATAAGCAACAGCCTCATATTCTGCATATGAATTTGAGAAAAGAATTGTTCTTGGGGGAGGTTGAAATAGTTGCTGCATAAGCTGAGTAGACAGGATAAGTCTTCTTCTTGCTCTATGTCGAGGAGGAGCACTTCCATTAGACTCAACATCTTCCTCAACCTTTCATTAGAAGAAACTAATAAGATACTAACAAGCGAGAGGAATCAAATCATCAATAATATGTGTTTGTTCAACCAGCCTAAAATTGTACCTTTTCAGCAACTCGTTCTGCAGCTTCTGCCCATTCCCTTTCACCAAGGCTGCGAGTATGGCTCAATCATATTAACATTTAAGAAAACATTTCCTTAGAAAACAAAAAAGTACATACTAGCAACAAAACATAAAGTCTCAATGGAAGACTATGAGTCAATTTGCATAACACTAACCTGATAGCTTGAAGATTTCGCAAACCCTGTGAAACTAAATTGCACCAAGGATTCAAGTCAGATATCAAATGTTTGCGCTTCTTGGATCTTGGCAATGCATGTTGGTCTCCTATACCCACCGATGATGATGGGGAAGCGCAAAATGGCTCAGTAGCAGCGCCAGGGATAGTGTGCAGGCTCGGCTTAGCATGTCGTCTTATATCATTACTGGCAGGTATCAGGTGTTGCTTTGTATTGAATGTATGCAAACTACTGGAGGACTTGTCAAGAACGAGAGGTGATTCACCCATCTTCATGGAAGAGGTTTTTTGTGTATCATGCATTGCTAATACCTGACCATTCTTAAAGGTTCCAGATCCAAAATGATTAAACCAAGTTGGTGCCATCTGTGGACTAACATGAGTGTGCTCAATCTTAACAGAACTTTCATTCTTTCCTTGAGAAATTGTCTGAGGATCATCCATATGAATTACATGCACCTGTGTGGGTATACTTACTTCTTGAGAAGTCGCAATTCTTTCCAAAGGATCCGTTTCAGAGAATTTTGGCATTCTAGAATCCACCGAGGGAACTAGCACATGCAACACTTCCTGATCAAGAGGGCCGTTATATGAGGCTCGAGATATTTTCAAAGCCTTACTACTCTGTTCACTTTCAGCATTATTCATGGGCTGTATCTGGTTTAGTAAAGAGTAGTTCTGGTAAGAAAGGGTATGAGGCTTCAAAGACCGCCCAAAGGCTTCAATATCTCTTTGCATTGAGGCAGAACAAACGGGATGTACATCAGAAAGATTATTAATGATATGTTCTTCCTGAGCTTTATTCATTTCCTCAACAGAGTCAATGCCTCTGAATGATACATGCTGAGAAGGGCTTTCCTTTATATGTTGTTCTTCTTGATGTATCTTACCCAATGAGTTCGCAAAACTTGCATAAGCTTCAGTCGAGACATTCCGTCCGGTGGTTGCATCTTGATCCCCTTGGTTTTCTGTAGCAGAAGATGTACCCACAATATTTGATTGGTGCAAACATGAAAAAGTTGAAGGCTCCTCACGAGAAGGTGCACTAAATGGGTTTTCCTTAAATGTGTTCCATGTATTATCCATAGTCTTTGAAAAGGATGCCTGTTGAGACATGATTGAACTGGAGGGAAGCTGAGAAACAGGAAAGGAATTATTGACTGATCTTTTAAGGATTTCATGGGGATCAACAGTACTAGTCTGCTCAGCTGTGCACAAAGATTTAGGTAAGTTAAGACCTGCAATATTGCTAGCCACTTCATGAGAGAAATTCTTCACTGATGTACCAGAAGATGGTTCCCTATTTGAATCATATCCCTCATGAAAACAGGGAGTGCCCTTGAAAGACGTACTAGGATGCTGACTTTTCAACTCATGTCCAGTAGCCATCGGTTGATTTTGAATCCGGCTTTTTGGAAAGGGGAATCCAGAACTAAATGCTGTATGAAATTTTTCATGCATCTTATAATGACTGTTCTCATTCTTGTCATTTATTTGAACTACTGATTTATTAGCATACCCTCCTTGGGCTGTTTCACTTGAAGAATGGCACGAAATATCTTGAGACATAGTGGCTATATGTACCTTGTCACCAATACTCGGGGATGATGAAGAAACAGTTACCATAGAGCTTTGAGGAGAGAATAAGTGGTTCTGAACTGGCATCAACTGGGATGGAGGACCAAGTTGTAGGCCAAATACTTGAGCAGCCAATGGATGACTTGGATACACGCGTCCAACAGGCCCATCAGAGTCTCCTGCCTTGGGCATCTCAGTTGGTGATGTGTTCTGACGCATAGTGGCTCCAAACACTCTTGATTGATCCACCTTTGGAAGAAGTTGCAACATGCTTGGACTGCAGTAAAATATTGAAACAAAAATACCAAAATAAGAGTATTATATACAATTGAAATGCACATCGTAGATAATTGAAATTTGCCATGTCCATTTTCATGTACAGACTAACAGAAGGAAAGAAAATCACTGGAATAACCTCAAGTGAATGAACAAACACTAACTGTTGGCATGTCCTATTAAAATACTGCCAGCATCAGATAGTATTGAGAGATAGAAAACGCATATAGTAACTACCTAGAAGATGGAGAAGCCATGACATGAGGGGGAATATCAACAGATATTGTCAAAGGGGAAGACATATTACAGACAGAGCTAGGAAAGTAACTCTGAGAGTGCACATCAGCTAGCCCTTTTCCACCTCTTAGAGCATTAGATGATTGCCCCTGTGAAAAAACAAATTACCGAAAATCCAGTTTTACATCTATGCCAAGAATTTGGTAGGAAAAACTACTTACGCTACAAATCATCAAAAAGATTCTTCCAAACCTGAATAAAAATCTGGGACTGACCATAATGAGCGGTCTGCGATGTCATTCCCTGTGTAGAGAGGGCCTTTTGCAATCCATAAGGAGGATCTGCATCTTCATCCAAATTTCCCATAGGATGGTACTGAAATTTGCGAGCAGAATTTTTCTTGCCAATCTGATTAGACAACTTTTCCTTGCCAGTAGCAAGAGACCTTGAATCACTGGAATCTAACAATATGTTTTCCCTCAAACTTCCAGCAGAATTTTGGTGTGAAACATTTGACTGGTAGCTGTCATTGGAGTTTGCCGGCTTATTGGAAGCATCTGCCTCATGAGTTTTAGCACTGGTTTGAGATGTCATTTCTAGTGCATTCAGAATATTGTTGTCCTTCATAATGTGTGAATGTGATCTTTCCAAACCTTGACTTTCTTTACCTATGGCCAACGTATTAGTGTTCTTCCAATACTTAACTTGACTCTTTTGGGAAAGAAACCTACCGGTTTCCTCAGTGCCATTTAAAGAACTGGCAAGAAGCTCTGAATTGATTGGGGCACTAGCAGGAGAATATCCAGTAACCTCTGAAGTAACAGCGGGGCTAATTTCAGGATCAGCTTTCCTGAAAGGAGCAGTATGAACTGCATCTCCATGTAAGCATGTGGTGTGACTGCTGTCTAAAGAATCTGAGTAGTTGTGACTTGAGTGAATCCTCGCAGAAGCATCTTCAGCAACCATTGCAGACCCAAAAGCACTCCAATCATTTAATTTGTCACGGTTTTTACTGGATCCATCATGCTCATCCATCCAGGAACTAGAAACAACCTTGACATTAACTCCTGCATCAAATAGATGTGAGGTGTTCATCTGCATTTGACTCCCTTCATCCCCTGACATTCGTAATGGTGCAACATCTGGCCACTTGCTGCCTTCCTCAGATGGTTGCACAAGTCTCTGCACAGAATTTGATTGCATATTTTGGGTGATATCATTAGGAATTTTTTTTACAAATTGCTGAAATCCTGGATGACTGACATAACTATTCTTCATATAATCGCTGACAGAAGGCTGACCTGCCTCAGAATTCAATAACGGTGCAATGGAGATGTGGGCATCCATCAATGCGCTATGCTCTCTCCCATTATCATGCGTTGAAACGTTTTGATTACCTGAAGAAACAACAGTAGTGTGAAAGTCCAAACCGCTCCATTCTTCTTGTGGTCCTACATCTGTTCTAGAGGCTTCTGCAACAGCAGACTGCATTAGAGCACTCCAAGTACCACCTTGAATAGAAGAAAACCCATGCGGTAATCCTGAACCATCAAGCGAGTTGGAGACTTCCTCACCTGGATTGGGGCACTTTCCAAACGCAGCCCATATATTATCATCTGAACCAAACAAAATTCTTTCCTCTGTAGGATCAAGACCAACTTCATTGTGTGATGAATTGGCTTGCTTTGATGCTTTCTCTTGTGGGTTCACTGAAGGAATAGCAGGTTCCTCTCTCTCTTGGAACTCTTGCATGGTTTCACTCTGTTGAACGGCATTCACTTCCTGAAGGTTCTCTATATTAATTGCATTGTTTAGACTTTGGTTAGGACCATTTCCAAAGAAATTTTCACCTATGAATCTTTGTCTAGAAACAACTGTTCCATCCTGAACACTAATTTGATCTGGTAATTGACCATATTGTTGAAAGGGAAATGAACTATTGAGTGAGGTGGATTGCTGCATTTTTGGCTTATCAGTTGCCCCTTGGGAATACTGGGTAGAGTGGCTACCGCTAGCCCTTGAAGAAGAGACAGGAACTCCAAAGAGGGATTGGTCAGTCTGTTGATTAGTCAGAGTCATCATGTGATGCCCTTGACCGTGATTGCTAGAAGGAACACCATTATGGGACAGTTGCAATGCTGAAGAACAGCCATGTAACCAATTTGTGTTAATAGTGTCAGTTGCCCCAGGGAAACCTAGTGCTCCCGAGTGTACATTGCTGTGAACCTGAGGAAAGGGATAGCTGCTAGGTACAACTTTATGAAAGGGAATACTTTGATTTAATGAAATGTGTTGTCTACCATCTGATAGCTGCTGAAGTTTTTGTTGCCTATGGAGTTCTTGCATCCTCATAAACATTACTTGCTGTTGTAGATGCTGTAAGTCCTTGATCCCAGTCTGCTGGAGCTGCAGAGGTTGCACATTGTTTGGTTGGTGACGATTCATTAGTTGTTGACCGCCATGAAGACCAAAATTACCAGAAGATAGAGAAGCTCCAGTACTAACCATCTGTGCTTGATGCTGAAGGCCCACTCCCTGCATTGGTTGTTCAAAGAAAGAAGAGCCGACTGAACCTACATTTCGCTGATCAGAAACTATATCCGCTGCCAAAAAGTTTCCTTCATCCTGTCGCGTCTCATAAAGATTCCCATATGTATAGCCATTCAAATTTTGCTGCTGACTCCGCAGCTGAATCTCAGGACTCAAAGTGGATCGAGTGAAGTGTAAGCCAGGTGGTCCATTCAGTAAGTGACTGTTTGATCCTCTTCCAGTATCTACTACTGGAGTACAAGAGATAAACGCATGTTAGATATTGGATTATCCAACACATCATGATCCCTAAGAATCCAAATACTCGCTAGTACTCCTTTATCTCCCAAAATGCAAGATATGTTTGGATTTGGCACGATCTTTAAGAAAATAAAAGGGATAATTATTATTTTACAATTGTAAACTTTTAAAAAGAAGAGAAAGTAGTATGGATCCTACAAAAATAATAGGTGAAATGACAGATTAAATGATAAAGTGGCAAAGTACAAGGACAGTGAAGATCAAATTAGGAAAATGATCGTAATTATGGGATGGGCAAATAACGACAATGTATCTAACAAAATGGGATGGAGGGAGTAATAAATACTCCTTCCGTCCCATTAGAAGGTTCCCACTTTCCTTTTTTGGATGTCCCATATAAAGGTTCCCATTTCCGTTTTAGGAAACAATTAACAATCTTAAGTGACAAATTAATCATTAAATATTAAAAAAATGCATTTATAACATCACAGTTATCAATATTAACTACATTATAATATATACCTATTAAAATTATTTCTCAAAATAAACTCGAAGTACTTTATTTAATTATTGTGTAAATAACAGTGCCGTTTTGCTATGGGAACCTTCCAACGGGATGGGGGTAGTAATAAACACCTAATATAACATATGAAACAATCTAAAAGATGTTACGAAAGAAGACATGTCATCAATTTAACAAGAGCATAAAGAACATATTGCTATAAATTTAAACCTTTTGTGGTGTAACTCAGAACACCAGCAGGTCCTTGGTTTCCAGCCCACAGGTTATTACTCAGAGCTGGATGATTCTGGTTCAATAACTCCGACTGATGTTGCCCCTGTGACAAGGTGTCTTGTGCAAAGAAATTGTGGACCCTATCTCCAACTCCGTTGCCAGGCATAGATGATATTAAATCCAAAGGACTTTGTCTGCGATGTTTGAATTTAAACCAACAACATAAAATATTGGTAACGACAAATTCTGCCTATCTGGCATTTTCAAGCATAGCCACAGTAGAAATCCCAATTCGTTAACCTCCTGCAGAATATCCACCACTTTTAGATAATGGGAAAAAATGACACTACTTTGTAAAGTATATAAGAAAATCCAATATCAGTTCATTTATGTGCAGTTGCAAAAAACAACACTACTTTGAAAAGTATATATGAAGTATACCAACTGTATGAATTCTAGGAACATGTGAATGTGTTCTCTAAGAACACTATTGATGCTAAAAAGATTTGTTAAAGGTTTGATATCAGAATTTACTCTCTTGACATTCTGAGAAGTTAGAACACATGAGCATTATGTCTCATAGGATCAGACAAGCTTCTGTTTCACACCATTAACGTCACAATGAACCAAAAATATTCTAGCTATCTGGTTTTCTAAATTTAGCTTCTCTATATTCTAAATAAATTAATAAAATACGTAGTAAAAAACAGGAAAGCTGTGCCGTAATATTGATAGGCATGTGGTGCAGCAACAGCCTATTAAATATTTCAATAAGGTGTACAAGAGGAGAAATAAGTAGTCATTATTACTTAACTAAGTAATAGCTAGTTCGGTTTGTCCCTGCGTGGATAATTAGCTATAAATAGTAAGGGGAGAACTAAATAAGGCAGGCTGTTATTTCTGTTGGCTGGTAGCTAGGAGATTGGGCATCTCGAACTGTCCCATTACTTGTACACCTTTTCCGACTTTCTCTCTCTCAATAAACTGTTGTGATCTGTTCTTAGATGCTATTCCCTTAGAGTTGTGATTGTTCTGAGTTAATTACTACCAGTGTTCTATCATTGGTATCAGAGCAATTGTTCTGGTGATCGGAAATTTGTTGAAATATCACCAGAAATTTTTTCTCTCGATCGGAATTGTGAATGGTTCGAACGAGAGGCAAAATGGAAAATCTAAGGGAAGAGATGGAACGTAGCAGGATAGCGACTGAGGAGACACTGATGAGCATGAGAACGATGATGGAAAACCTGAACGGAAGACTGGATGCGATGAGCAAGGAATTCCGTGCGAGTAGACGATCGCAATCTCGTCCTCGCCATCACGCACGAACGTCGAACAGTCCTGTGGCTTCCAGAGGTAACTCCGTTCATTCAAATAGCAATATTCATCGACGCAATGAGGAGCATGTCAGAATACCGGTACGCACTGGTAGAAAATAGATTTACCACTGTTTAACGGCGATGGAGCATATAACTGGATTATAAGAATGGGGAGATATTTTCGATTGAACTATATAGAGGAGGATGAAAAGGTTGAAGCATCTATGGTTGCTATGGAAGATAGAGCTTTAAATTGGTTTCATCTATGAGAGAATCAGACTGAGGAAACTAGTTGGGAGGCTTTGAAGAAGTCTGTTATTCGCAGGTTCCAGCCGGAGTTGCTTCAAAATCCTTACGGGCCTATGCTGCGTTTGAAACAAACTGGAACAGTGCAGGAGTATAGGGAGGAGTTCGAAATGGTGATAGCACCTCAACAGAACATGGACACTGATTTGTTGAGAGGAATTTTCATCACAGGTTTGAAGAAGGAAGTCAAATCTGAGTTGAAACTGTATGCTTCCAGATCTCTAACGGAAGTTATGGATAAAGCAATATTAATTGAGCAGAAGAATGAGGCAATATACTCTTAAGAGAAAAGAAGAAGACAAGTTAATGGGGAAGGAGAGAGGACCTGTACCAGTGAAGAATCAGAATTGGGGGGAAGGGTACAAGACCAAATTTGGCAGTTCATGGTCAACTCAGAGTAAAAGTGGGGCTGAAAACAATAATAGCAGTTCGTGGTTTGATAAGGCAGGCAGGAAAATCACTGAAATTCATCCTTCTGGTGTAAGAAGAGTGGGACCTCAACTTTCACAGGAAGATTACCAGGAGAGAAGCAAGAAGGGGCTTTGTTTCAAATGTGGTGATAAATGGAATAGGGAACATACCTGTAAACTAAAGAACTATAAGCTCATTCTGGTAGAAGATTCTGCAGAAGAGGAAGAATCTGAAGATGAAGTTGGAGAAGTTCCTGAAGAAGAAGTTGTCATGGAATCCAAGTCCATGCAACTTTCACTCATGAGTAAGGAAGGGATCCCTTCCATTAGAGCTTTGAATGGGGTGTTTATAATGGAGTTTTGGTGAAAAGGAAGTGGAGGTACTCATTGACAGTGGAGCTACACATAACTTTATATCTCAGGGGATGGTAAATCAGCTTGGAATTCCCTATGACACCATTACAGGGTATAAAGTGCAGATTGGGAATGGAGAAAAATTAGCTAATAATAGGAGGTGTAAAGCATTGAAGTTATGTGTGCAGGAAGCAGTAGTTCAGCAGGATTTTTACATCCTGGAACTAGGGGGTACTGATGTGGTGCTGGGGATGGAATGGTTGACCACTTTAGGAGATGTTGAGGTCAATTTCCAAAAGCAGATTATAAGATGGCAGGAACAAGGGAATAAGCAGATGATACAAGGGGATCCACATCTAAATTCTCTTGAGGTTTCTTTGAAAACAATGACTCAAATCTTACATGATGCAGGGGATGGATATTTGGTTTACTGTGAGTGTCAATTTGTGGAATTGAAGGAAGGGGATGAAACAGATGGAACTTGGAAACATATTTTGGCTGAATTTCCAGAAGTTTCTGCACCTCTGAAGAAATTACCCCCAAGAAGAACCTGTGATCATGCAATTAATATTCAACAAGGAGCAGAAATCCCAAACATAAGACCCTACAGGTATCCTCAGTATCAAGAGACTGAAATTGAAAGAATCATAAAGGAGATGCTCAATGAAGGCATAATTCAGCATAGTAATTGCCCTTATAGCAGCCCTATTTTACTAGCTAAGAAGAAAGATGGGGGTTGGCGATTTTGTGGAGACTATAGGGCTTTAAATAAGATTACTATACCTGACAAATTTCCTATACCTGTCATTGAAGAATTACTGGATGAATTGGGTGGGGCTCAGATCTTTTCTAAACTGGATCTGAAATCTGGTTACCACCAGATCAGAATAGAGGAAGATAGGCAGAAAACTGCATTTAGGACTCATGAGGGACACTACGAATATTTGGTAATGCCCTTTGGTCTGACAAATGCACCATCTACTTTTCAAGCACTCATGAATCAAGTCTTAAGGCCATTTCTCACAAAGTTTGCACTGGTTTTCTTTGATGACATTCTTATATATAGTAAATCAAAGGAAGAACATCAAGAACACTTGAAGATGGTATTAAAAGCTTTGAAGGAGAACCAGCTAGTTATAAATCCAAAAAAATGTTCCTTTGGGCAATCAGAGCTGGTCTATTTGGGTCATATTATATCTGGTAGTGGAGTTGCTGCAGATCCTACCAAGATAGAAGCCATGGTTCTATGGCCAGAACCCAAGGATTTGAAGGGACTAAGGGGATTTCTGGGACTAAGTGGCTATTACAGAAGATTTGTACAAGGGTATAGCAAGATTGTTTTACCTTTGACTCAGCTTTTGAAAAAGAACAGTTTTCAATGGGGGACAGATGCTACCAAGGCCTTTGAAGAATTGAAAAGAAGAATGACCACCTTACCAGTTCTGGCAGTTCCAGATTTCAACAAGATGTTCATATTAGAAACTGATGCTTCGGGGACAGGTTTGGGGGCTGTTTTGATGCAAAATGGCAGGCCGATTGCATACATGAGCAAAGAATTGTCTAAAAGGAATCAGAACAGATCTGTTTATGAGAGGGAAATAATGGCTATTGTTCTGGCAGTCCAAAAATGGAGACAATATTTGTTGGGGAGAACTTTTGAAGTTCATACAGATCAAAAGAGCTTGAGATTTTTGACAGAACAAAGACTGATGGGTGAGGAACAACAAAAATGGACTTCCAAGTTACTGGGTTATAATTTCACTATCAAATATAAACCTGGATTGGAAAATACAGCTGCAGATTCCCTATCCAGAAGACCATCCTTCAATGCATTGTCCATAGTCACTTGTCAGGAATGGGAAGGGCTAGAAGAAGAGCTGCTTACAGATCCTAAATGTCAATCATTACTTCAGCATATCATCTCACAACCAGATCAGTACCAGGAGTTTCAGAATATTAAAGGGTTGCTATACTACAAGGGGAGGCTAGTTTTACCTAGTAAATCTCCTAGAGTTACCAAAATCATGAAGGAGTATCATGATTCTGCAATGGGGGTCATTCTGGCTATTTCAGGACTATGAAGAGGATATCTAATTTGTTTTATTGGCATGGTATGAGGAAGAACATAAAGAAGTATGTTGATGAGTGTCCTACATGTCAAACAAACAAATACCGAGCTTTAAAACCAGCCAGGTTATTACAACCCCTGCCTATTCCTCAGAATATTTGGACTGACATTTCCATGGATTTTGTGGGAGGTTTGCCAAAATCACATGGAAAGGATACAATCATGGTCATTGTGGATAGATTGACAAAATCAGCTCACTTCTTAGCTTTATCTCACCCATTTAATGCTAAAGAAGTGGCTGATTTGTTTACCAGGGAGATAGTCAAGTTGCATGGATTCCCTAAAACGATTGTGAGAGACAGAGACAGCATATTTCTGAGTACTTTTTGGTCTGAACTCTTCAAACTAGGTGGGACTCAACTCAAATACAGCACAGCTTATCATCCTCAAACGGATGGTCAAACTGAAGTAGTCAACAGGTGCCTAGAAACTTATTTGAGGTGTATTACTGGAAAGAGACCCAAGCAATGGGTTAATTGGTTAGCTTGGGCAGAATTCTGGTACAATACAAATTATCATACATCGCTGAAAATGACACCCTACAAGGCTCTTTATGGTCAGGATCCTCCTACTGTGATTAGAGGGGATGCTAATCTTACAGCGGTGGAAGAAGTTTCCAGAATGGCTGCCCAGAGAAACATGATGCTCAAAGAATTGAAGGAAAATCTGGAAATAGCTCAAAATCAGATGAAGCAGCAGGCCAACAAGCATATGAGAGAAGTGTTGTTGGCAGTGGGAGACATGGTTTATTTGAAAATTCAACCTTACAAGCTCAGGAGTCTGGCCAGAAGAATCAACCAGAAATTAAGCCCTGGATACTATGGCCCATTTGAGATAATTGGAAAATTAAGTCCTGTAGCCTTTAAACTTCAACTGCCAGAAGACAGCAAAGTGCACCAAGTGTTTCATGTTTCACTTTTGAAGAAGGCTATATCTTCCACAACTGCATTTCAGCCTCTACCTAAATGTTTTAGTGAAGAATGGGAGTTACACGTGATACCCGAAGAAGTGTTGGACTCAAGGGTTAACAAGGAGGGAAAGATGGAGGTCCTGGTACATTGAAAGGACTTGCCTCAATTTGAAGATTCTTGGGAATTATTGCAATCATTGACAGAACAGTTTCCAGACCTTCACCTTGAGGACAAGGTGAAATTTCAGGGGGGGGGGGGGGTAATGATAGGTATGTGGTGCAGCAACAGCCTATTAAATATTTCAATAAGGTGTACAAGAGGAGAAATAAGTAGTCATTATTACTTAACTAAGTAATAGCTACTTCGGTTTGTCCCTGTGTGGATAATTAGCTATAAATAGTAAGGGGAGAACTAAATAAGGCAGGCTGTTATTTCTGTTGGCTGGTAGCTTGGAGATTGGGCATCTCGAACTGTCCCATTACTTGTACACCTTTTCCGACTTTCTCTCTCTCAATAAACTGTTGTGATCTGTTCTTAGATGCTATTTCCTTAGAGTTGTGATTGTTCTGAGTTAATTACTACCAGTGTTCTATCAAATATGTTCATTGAAGTTGAAGTTGCATTAAAACATCTCTGACAGGTTACTTATGCCCTTCCATGTAATTCACATTAGACAAAGGGATACCTGTCCCATACTCTCAGAGCAGAATCAACTAACCAGCTTGCTAATCACACGAGTAATAATATCTAAATGCATCATTCACATACATTTGACCATAGTGCAACTAAAAGGCTCGTGCTAATAATCACAAAGCCACTGTTGTTTTTCCAATTTTGGAAAACTTAAAATTGCATCAAGGAAAATGTACACCAAACACGTGGTCTAACTTGTGACTTGTGAGATATAGGCTTACTTGTTAATATATCGGCAGAAGATGCTAGCATATGCAACATGATCTTCATTACCTGATTCTTGGTTTACTTTGTTCTTTTGTTTCAGTTTTTTATCACAAGTTAATAATCAAAAGTTTTAGTGTAATGAAGATTAGTCAATTATAAATTTATGGATACAATTACTTATAATGGACTCGATAGTTTCATAGCAAATAAAGCAGTTGCTGTTTCATATACCCACCAACGAAAGTAAGCATATAAAGTGGATTATAAACAATTGTTTGCATGTCTGCGCAGTGATTGCCTTGAAAGAAACAAAATTCAAAACGGTTGCTGCAGTTATTGACAGTTATCGTTCTACCAGTTAGTAAAACTCAAAATCGGAGTTACCTTTTGTAACCACATTCAGAGCATCTTCAATCACACACCGTTCACATTAAAAAAATATGCTACGTCAACCCTATTTAACACCACGTCAAAATGTTCGTCTCCAACCCACCCTGTTCACCCTCATGTAATGCTGAGCTGTAAAAATTTAATTTCGAAACTGTTTACATTCCTGTCTTCAGATAACAGCACCGTTCACATCGTGACTCACCAAACGTGGAGTAGAAACGCACTATTTGCTCCTCTTTCGCACTACGTATGGAAGTTCATTCCCTGCTTTTAGTGCTATATATCTTTCTCCGTATTTTGTTCTTTCTCATTTCCCCATCCAATTACAATTTTCTTTTTTCTAGATTTTTCCAAGATGATACGAATCCTCTTTTGTTAATAACAATCCACACACATATAGACTTGTAAGGATAATGGATTACCTCTACGAATTAAATTATTTGAAGACCCAGAACTTGTTTGATTCAAAAATTATGCAGAACTTTTGTTGCTTTTGATCGGTTAAAAGTAAAAACTATGCCAGCTGATTTTTATGACTTTTGGGGTGCAGGAGTAATATGATTAAATATGATGTATTTTAATTTGAAAACATGTAGGTTACACGTTGGTGGTTATATGGGCTCTTGACATCACACATTGGACATCATTTTTGGATTTCAATGTCCACCTATATTATTTCAAAATGAGGTGGATGACTATTCCATTTATCAATTGCCATTTGTCAAAATTTATATCATGTTAACAATGTAGCATTGGTGATGCTCTCAGGACCCACTTTAATATGTTGCTACAGTCTCATCAGGCCAATTCAAGTATTCAAGAACCAGCTGTATTTGGAACCATAATAAACACATCTTTGTAGCTAAGATGAGCTAATTGCTAATTCAGAGTAAATGGAGCCGTTATATTATACGCATAGTAGCAAACAAGCCTAAAAATAGCAGAAAATTTCTTGAACTTGAGCACTTCAAAATGCAAGCAAGCAAAACTCCGTTAATTTATATATTCCAACACCGAAATTTTCCAACAAAGCCATGATATTTCCAAAGAATTATTAGGGAGATCAATAAATAACATTTATAAATGCCGTCGCATTTTATAAAGGTGAAACACATATTGAAGTCTCAATCAGGCATGGAACAGTTGTACAAGCTTATAGCTCAGCCTGCCAACACTCTATATGAGGTTCAGCCAATGAAGCATATAGTGGTGATGGAAGAGACAGAGAGCTAGGGTTTGCAATGAGATAAGTAAATTGGAAGAAAACCAAAATTAAAATACACAAACCTCCGTAAGTGTAGTGTACAATGGCCCCCGAGGTATCCTTCTCCGTTTACGTATCCTAGGGTTTTGAATCGCTACAGAACTTAGACAAAAAGAAGAGATGAAATGAGGGATTCTCCGGGTAGAAATATGATAAAGCGATCGAAATACCAATGAACTGTGTAAATGTGAGTTAGCTTGGTTCGGAACGGGCCCCAGGTCTGTGCGGCTGGACTCCTAAATAGAGGTTCGAGCTAGTGTTCGTTTTCGAGCTTAATGAACTCCGAATCCGAATACGAGCTCCAATTACAGTTCGGAAAATAAACGAGCCGAGCTCGAACCTGATGGTATTCGGTTCGATTCGTTATCGAGCCTATCGAACACTTGTATAAATAAATAATTTTTTACCCATATGTCCACTTTATTTTCTTATCTACTAATTCAAATACTTATTTATTTATTAAAGAGTATCACTTATGATGAACTTTTTCGAACTCGAGCTCTAATCGAAATTTTGTTCATTAAAAGAGCTTGTGTTCGAACTCGAGCTCTAATCGAACTTTTTTGTTCCAACTTTTTTCGAGCCTATCGAGTATCCGAACCGAGCTTCGAACACAGACCGAACCGAGCTCGAGCCTAATAAATAGAGCTCGTCGAGCTTCGAGCACGAACTCGAGCACTATCAAAACACTATCGAACCGAGCTCGAGCCTATGGTGTTCGGGCTCGACTCGGTTCGTTTACAGCCCTAGTCCGGGCATTGGACTCAAATCTCTGTCCAACTTCATTAATCTATACGGATGTCCAACCTCATTAATCTATAAGGAGTATAATATAATAAAACTAACCCTTGGAGAGCTCTTTGGAGAAATAGTTGACATGTGGCACCATCTTTTGTAGACAAAATGACATGTGTCAACACCATTAAATAAAAACTATTCAACTTCCAAACCTCCACTCAATGTATTCCAATAAAAATTTAGATAAAAATTTATGTGTACTATATATAAGTTGAGAGTATTATATACGGAGTATATGTATATTTAGGGAAAAGGGTCAGATAGGCCCTCGAACTTACGTAAAAAAGTCAAATAAGCCCTTATATAGGAGGCTCTGTCCGGCCGTCGCCATTTCGGGCGGTTCCCGGTGGAATATTTTGATGAAATTTTTTGAGCATCTTATTCATCGAGTCTAGTTTACTCATACCAAATTCCAGCTAAAAATTCAACCTAGAAGGCATTCAAATGAATTCTTGAAGATAACTGCACAGTTAAAAGCGCAGTTATCTTCAAGAATTCATTTGAATGCCTTTCCGATTGAATTATTAGCTAAAATTTGGTATGAGTAAACTAAACTTAATGAATAAGATGCAAAAAAAAAATCATCAAAAAAATCCATCGAGAACTGCCTCAAATGGCGACGACCGGACAGAGCCTCCTATATAAGGGCTTATTTGACCTTTTTACGTAAGTTCGAGGACCTATTTGACCCTTTTCCCGTATATTTATATTTATGCATCACAACGTTGTGTATAAATATAGGTAAAAATTTAACTAATTGTACAAAAATAAGGTTAGAATTAGTTTTTTGAGTATATATTTGTAAACAATGACTACTAATTGCTAAAAAGTTATTTTCAACTACAAAATAAAAAATATGCAGGAATAGCTTATTTGAATGGTTACTGTAGAAATAGTAGTTCAATGAAGGTTGTTGTTAAATAGTAGGGCTTTTTACAAAAATATTACTGAAATAAAACTTATTTACACAAATATAATTATTATTTACTAGAATGTAGTGTCATAATAACTAAGGTATAAAAATTGAATATGAGTTGCTATAATTTCATTACTACTTTGGTCACTATTCACATTTTTGAAAAATAGTCTTCATTTTAGTAATAAATATGTAATTATTTCTAAATAGTAAGTACACAATAGCAAATAATTTTCATAGTAAACAAACAATAATTAAGATAGTGAAAGATAAAACTAGGTGCTTATATTTTTACCAAATCACAAGTTGTATAGTCAACCACTTGTGCATGTTGACCCACAAAACTAGTGAGTTAATCAGGTTATTAAAATGCAATCCACCGTAAAACGAGCAAGCCCGATGGAGTTGGACTCATTTTGACATCTGTATATATAGTCAATTGAGTTCTCTTTTAAACTTCTTTTGGAAAATTATATATAATCCACGGTCCCTATGAATTTAAGAAAAAATGTAAACACATATCTTACTGTGCGGTGCACGGGTACACACACTAGTTGTTAAAAATATAAAGAAGTTAGTGGTTTTACCGCCCCGTGCCGTGCACATGTAAAACGATTTTGCTTTCTAATTTTACTAAGGGATATTTTGAGTTTGCACCCCATTTTATTGTCGAAATTAGACCTTGCACCCCGTTTTTGAAATCATTAGTATTTGCACCCCAACCTCGTATGAAAAGACAAAAATGCCCCTCGATCTGGATTATGTTGAAGGCCAACGAAATTGTTAATTGAGGGCTTTTTAGTCTTTTCATACGGGGTTGAGGTGCAAATACTAAAGATTTCAAAAACGGGGTGCAAGGTCTAATTTCGACAATAAAATGGGGTGCAAACTCAAAATATCCCTTAGTAAAATTAGAAAGCAAAATCGTTTTACATGTGCACGGCACGGGGCGGTAAAACCACTAACTTCTTTATATTTTTAACAACTAGTGACGGGTGGGGTTGGCACGGGACTGAGGGGGTTTTGGGCAGCAGAGGATGGATGGAACACCGGAGATAGTGTGTCATTGTATCGGTGTCACTGTAGCGACGTCACTTTGTCCGGAGTCACTTTGCCGGCGTCACTATGGGCGATGGCGGTGTCATTGTGGTGGTGTCATATGGCCGGCGGCGGAGTCACTTGGTGGTGACCGACGGTGGTGGCAATGACATAAAATAGTGACATAACAGTCCGACAGTGACAACAAAATGATAGCGACATCATGTTTTCTAAATATGTGATCTTCTTAGTCACATTTTTGTCATTTTTAAAAATGGTCACATTTTTGGAAATCACTTTAAATTTTGTAATATTGAAGGAAAAAGCCCAAAGTAAATTCACGTACATCGCACGGATACTATACTAGTTATAAACTAAAACTCTAATCAACTAAATAAGTGGTTTTGCATTAGTAAAAGGGATAATTTGAGTTTGCACCCCATTTTATTATCCAAATTAGACTTTGCACCCTGTTTTTGAAATCATTAGTATTTGCACCCCAACCTCGTATGAAAAGACAAAAATGCCCCTCGATCTGGATTATGTTGAAGGCCAACGAAATTGTTAATTGAGGGCTTTTTAGTCTTTTCATACGGGGTTGAGGTGCAAATACTAAAGATTATGTGAAGAGATCGAAGACACCATAAATGTGCACCGCAATCAAATATATAGTTTACCACTCCCATTATATGTTCAAACAATTTCTCACGTTGAGAAGACATACCGCCTCAAACCTACATTTATTGGAAAGCCCCAAGGTCACAATTAAAGAGCCATTTATCATTTCAAACGGTCTGTGCTATTCCCCTTAACATTCAATTAATCCATCTGACATTTTTTTTGAAAGTAGACCATTTATTCGGCATGTAGTATATGAATTTAAAAAGCCATTAACCACTACTAATTTGATTCTAGGATTTTATAATAAAATACATAGCTTTAGAAAAGTAATAATTTACACAAATAAATTAAAACTACATTTTAGCCCTTAAACACATACCTCGTAGACCTATAAAAACAAATATATTCTTTTACTTTTCCTTTTATTAGTATCACAAAAATCTACTATTATGACCAATAGTTGTTTTTCAGATAATAGTATAGACAGTAGTGACCTAGTTAGCTTTTTTGCGTTTTAAACACGTACCATTTTTTGAACAAAAAATGCATTTAAAATGAAAAATAATGATGATCCGTTTAAAAGGAAAAAACTCATACTTCTCGTATAAAACGTATTTTTCCCCTGTTTTACAAAAAATAGAAACATGAATTGATCAATTGAATGAGTGCATTAAATGCACAGAAAATCAACAATAGCTTAAAGGAAAAAAGGAAAATGGTCTCCTCATGATCTCATGCTTTTGTATTGTTACAATGCAATTATTAAATACTAAAATTACTTGCATGGTGGCTAAAGCTTTCTAAAATACCAAAACTTGAAATACTGTTGATTTTATGATGTTTTTCCAATCAAGCATATATCACAATTAAGATTTTTCTAAACCTGACATATTTTTGGTCTAATTTTTTACACATAAACAATGATAAGCGTAGCAGTCATAAAATGTACTTTTCTGAGTTTTCTCATATGTCATTCGTCATCTTGATGAAAATAATGATTTTAACTTGAGTGTTATTCGATTATAATACAAAGACGATGATTTTAACTTAGTCTCATTCTATTGTTATTATGCCTCATTTTTTTGACTTTATTTTTTAAAATTATATCCTGGACTTAACTACTATTTTTATTTCCGTCATCAACTTATATATGCAATATGAATTATTCTTTCATGTGGTAATGAGATTTGCTACTTGAATATGTGTATACTTTTATTTCTTTTTTTACTATATATCTTAATTTGTGAAGTATGTACTTTAAATGTTCAAAATAATACCTCGTATTTTTTGTCCGAATTTTTGTAACATTTACCGTTTTATACACATATACGTATTCACACGTTTTTTAAAAGTCAACTTATTTTTCAACGAATTTTTGATCGTCGTTTTCATTCTTGTTAGCGAATAAAACGCTTATGTATTAAACTCAGTGTAATTCATGTACCGTATTTAACTAACTAATAGACACACAAGCGGCAGCATTGATAATTGTGATATTTGAACCATTTATGTAATTATTTTATTGAAGTTTAATAAAATAAAAACTGAATTTTTTAGAATTGTGATAGTTTCCTTTTCTATCCAAAGTATTATCTTTAATAAAGCGTTTTTATTATTTAAATAATACTCCCTATTTGACACATATGCTCTTCCCCTAACATTCAATAAATTCATGTATAAAGCAATTGTCCTATACAGGACTAAAAATAAACTTAAATGCAAAAATAGGACTACGTTTTTTTTATTCCCTAAATAGGATTCCGGATTACCGTTATACCCTCCTATATAGTTAAATGAAAACCCTAGGAATTAACTGCAACTCTTCTCACGATCTCACGATCGATTCTCACGCTGCAGTTCTCACAATGGGTAGTTCTCTT